TTTGTCAGGAGGTCTGTGGCATTTGTTCCTGGACAAAATAACAACAACAGCCTTTTCTTGCCCACAACATCATTTTTACCTGCTAAAATTATGTAAGGATAATCACCTTTATTGGCCAAGTATGTTACACACAAGGAATTTGTTTCCGGTACAGAACTGAGGCAGCCATCTGTGGCACCAACTCAACCGATGGCTCTAACCATTGGGGGCAACAGGAGGGTTCAGTGTCTTGCCCAAGGACACTTGTGGCAAGACACTGTGGATTGTAGGCACCGAGATTCAAACCTTCAACTTTCTGGTTGGGAAACGACTGCTCTACCCACCACACTGTCGCCTCTCCCAGGCGTAACACATGTAAAGTAACACATCCAGTAATAAGGAAGTTCAAATCATTCTTTTGTTGTTTCTCAATTTTCAATAGTTCAGCCATGTTCTACTGTATTTACTATTTTTAAACGCAACATTGTTAGAAAACGCCTGATCAATATATATATTGCTATATACACAAAAGTTAAAATTTATTTTACTGCTGCAGTGAGCAAAAATAAAGTGCTTTCTTTACATTAACAACCTTAAATTGATAAGGGATTCAAAAGGTTTTGGATTCAAAAAGTGGATTCAGATTCTAATTCCAAATGTTAAGATCACAGATAGTACTGGAAAAATCCTACCATCCACTCGTTACCTACTGCTTATCCTGTAAGGGCCGCGGGTGGGTGGAGCCAATCCCAGCCAACGCTGGGCAGGTGGCCAATCCGTCACAGGGACGACACACACACAGACAACCACTCACATTCACACCTACAGGTAATTTAGAGGCACCAGTCAACTGAATCTGCATGTCTTTGGTATTGTTTATCCTTCTCTCTCTATCTTAGTTTTTATTCTCATTTGCATCTTGAAGAAGGCTCCGTAGGCAGTTGTGGTAAAGTGCTAGATAAATAAATTTGACTTTGTGGGAGGAAGCCGGTGTACCCAGAGGAAACCCACGCAGGCACTGGGAGAACATGAAAACTCCAAATGGTAAAGGTCAGCCCAGAACCTTCTTGCTTTTGAGGCAACTCACAAAATACAAATGATTGTAAACAGGTCACATGAGCAACACACGAAGGCAAACCTGACCATGTTGCCTTTCACTATTTTGTAATATACATTCTGCATCATGGTTTAGGAGACTCAACAACCAAACAGTAACTTTGTCCCACATATGAATCTCACGCTCCACTACACTGGGGGTTTTGGTCTTTTAACCAAAACACCAAATGCGCTAAGTAAATCACAATTTATTGTATTGAGCTTTTTATTGATGATGCACTTAAATGTTAAACACCTTCATATTTGGAAACAGAGGAATGATACAGATAGTCTCAGTAATGATCAGACATGCACACACAATACATATTTTATAAATAAGCCACTAAATGTGGATACTCTCATTTATGTGGTATGGGTCTGCTTGGCTTTTGCTGGCACAGTGACAGTTTACAGTATTTGTGCATGAAAAGCACTCAGACAGACGTTCAGTCTGTGTCATGCAGCGTGGGGATAATCGACTGTCTATGAGTGTTTGTTGATCTATTTTTAAAACACCCAACAACCTCTGAACCTGACGAGCGAGCAGAGAGAACGAGCCGAGCTTCAGAACCACGTCCAAGCTCGCCGACAAGTGATTTGAATGAACACTTTGGCTCTGAGTAATGGAGAGGCAGATGGTGCACGTGGCTAACGCTCAGTACCCTTCACACACACACACACACACACACACACACACACACACACACACACACACACACACACACTCTGGGGCAGTGTGTGAAAACCCCGCCCCCGGGGCCTCGGCGCCTGCCTCTACATTCACCATTCAATATGTTTGGACAACACACACGCAGGGTTTAGAGGCTGCAGTGTAGCAGCTGCTGGGCCGTGGAGGTGCCAGATCTGTTGTGTGGAGCTTCTCCAGTAGAATCTATTAACCTCAGTGGTTCACTTTATTCCACAGTGACAGACTATTAGTCCTCCAAGAGGCCATGGAAGGACTATTGTACTGCATTTACTATAAGTCGCTGATCTTTCTGCAACAAGGAAGTGCTCCGGTTTTGTCATGTTGTCTTTTAACTTCCTGTCTGCACCAGATGTGGATGTTCACTGTGTCAGCTGCCTTTGAAACACAGAAAACACCTGCCCCTACTTCCCAAATAAAGCCTATGCTAAGGTGCTCCCTGGTAACAGCAAGATCAAGTTTATCACCATGAAGTAAAGTTTCCTCCATGGTTGTATGTCTGGAGACTTTGTGTCAACAGTTTGTGTTTATCCATTGTCCTGTTTCAACGTGACAATGCCTCTGTGCACAAAACCAGCTCCATAAAGAAATTATTTTCCCAGTTTGGTGTAGATGAACTTCACCAGCTTATACAGAACCCTGATCTCAACCCAATGCCAACAATCCTGGAATGAACAATCACAGATGGGTTTAGGTTCAGGTGCCCACTTTGTCCATGCAAATTATCACCTTAACTCACTTTTGTATTAGTGTTTTTGGATTAATCTTACATTCCCAACTTGTTCTTAATATGAGTAAGTGGTGTTCATGTGAAAAAACCCTGATACTGGCCTAAATGTGTTAATATCCATGTCAGGCTCAGGCTGAATTGCAGACCTCTAGCATAAAAGCCTCCATGCAGCTTCTTGTGCCTGATGAAAGGAAATTATACATGACATATTTTTATGAGAGGCAGCATCAATCATCATTGAACTGTCAATGAGAAGATTCTGCCAGAACCAAAAAAACCAAAGAAAACACGTTTCCTCTCTGATCTTGTTCAGTCAGATGGTTGTAATTCCTCACCAGTCCTTGAGACTAATCAGTTTCTGTTGTGGATTTCAAAGCCATTTGGCCTATTTACACTTCATACTGAGTACAATATATACGGTGAAAGCAGCAGAAATGAAGAAGGGTGTATGGTATTTATTTCTGTGTATGGTCCTCCATCTCCAGTCTCAACCACCTGGAATGCAAAGGCATCTGACAGCAATCAGGACCAGGGGAAAATGTATGAAAACAAACACTTTTGTTTGGAGTGCAAGCTTCCTGGCTCTTGTCAAATGCTCCGTGTGAGTGATCCTCTAATGTTCTGCAAGTGCAGATGCTGCAGAGCTAAACATTTAAAATTAGGGGAACAACAACAATAGAACACACAGGAGACAACTTGAGCAAGATCTGTAGGACAGAGTGTGGAGGAGGACGACAACAAGAAGCACAGGGTCATTTAATATGGCTGATGTGGTGGCTGTGGTGGTGGAGGGACAGCTGGCGAGCTGCTTGGGGAAACATCCCTGCTAATGTGTCTTCATTTGGACACTTGGCTTCAGTGAGCTTCAGCAGGCCGAACGGCCAGGCAGGGGGGGGGGGGGGTGCAGGGTGCTGCTGCTATGATGCCCAGGGCTGCTGCACAAACAGGGGAGAAAGGGAAACCAGATGTTGACAATCAGCTCTTTTCTTTGGCCCTCCTGTACCTATCTGGGAACTTATTAGATTTTAGGACTAAACTAGAGAAATGTGTCGAGGCTATTCAGCTGAGTGAAGCACAAATGTGTTGACAGAAGTTTGTCTTTGTTTGGTTGATGAGATGTTTTTAGAAGCTTCTTGTTGATGCTGCACACATTTCTAAAATCAATGTATCACTGTAACAATTCACTGAATTGTATAAAAGGGATAAATTGTTTGACTGACGATAGTGAGAACACTCCCTGTTTTTCAGCGCTCATAAGCAGTATGTAAAATGGCAATAAATGGTTTACAACATATAAATAATGTAGCTGTAAGCACACAAGTCTTTTTTAATTTGTCCACAAATCTAAGTCCTCCTGTGGTCACCCAGATGTGGAGGCAGGATCAGCATTCTGCGATCAAGAGGCAGAAATATAATATAAACTGTGGGCCCCTATTGGCTCCTTTCTTTTACTCTCTGCACATTGTGTATAATGTGCATCTGGCAATTTGACCAAGCATGATTTTATATAGGAATGCACACCATAAAATGTGATATAAACTGAAATAACAAAGGCTTTAACTCAAGCCCCTCTGCAGCCAGGGGCCTAAAGATTATACAACAGTGCAGGTTTACATTTAGGCCCCTATTTCTGTTTGTATGGTGGTGAATACAGTATTAGCCAAAGATTAGTAATTCATTAAATTAGCACAAACTGTTAAAATTACCCACAGTTAAACACGATGAGGGTTTAAGGCCCCAGTTTTCCGTTTTGCTTGGGTAGTTGGTGTTTGGAAATACATGTGAAAACCATCAGTTATCTGTCATTTATGTGCTGTAAATAAACAACACTGAGAAATGACAGCAGGAAGCGGTGCTCAGGGAACAGTAGAATCAGATGGAGTCAAAAGAAAAAGAAGAAAATTCAGTCGAATTTCCTATTCAGCAATAAATATAAGCCAGAAACCGACACCGCCTCCTACTGGCAGCTGAATGAACGACCAGCTCCTGGTGCAGCAATTTCCATGCAGGTATTCTGTAGTCCTAAATAATAATAATAATAATACACACAAGGTCTTCTGCAAATATTGCCTAAAAAGCACAGTTACATCAGCATGTTATTTGTGAACCTTTTATTAGATTGTTAGTTTCTTTTTTTTTTGTAAATACAGTACATTATACCAAAGGACAGTAAAGCTAACAACCGTGTTCTTTGTTTTAAAACAAATGAAATGATGATGTAATGTATACAAGGTGATGAAACTATTTGTTGCATGTAAAGAAATTCAGAAATTGATGTCATTTACTGTAAGTCGCGTTTAAGATACCTTGCAATATTACAGTCACTTCTGATAAAATGTTTATATTTTTGGCACTTTATATATATATATATATATATGTAGGACCTGTAGTAATAAATAAAGTCAGGTAATAAATAAATGAGTATATTACCTGTAGTAACCGGTTAAGAGTTGATAATAGCTCTGCAGCTCAGGCTGCCAAGTTAAACAAATCCACAGTCCTACACTACCTGCTCAGCAGAAGAATAGGTGTACAGTACATAGCAGCATTTAGCAGCTAAGCCAGATATTTCTGTAAGCTTCTTCTTCTTCATCTCTTGTTGAATGGTGGTTGGCAAACAGCTTTCCTTAAGCTAAGAGAGGGATGAGGTAAAGATACGGAGGTGGAAGGGACAGGTGTTCTTACAGCAACAGGTAGTTAACTGGTTATTGAACTGCGGCTGTTTATCAATAACTCGAGAGATGTAGCAGCAGTGGCAATGACACAGTTAATGGAGGACCTTAAGGTAGGGCACCTTAAGCCCTTACATAGAAATCTTACACACATTTTTAGTTTAACTGTGACTGGCTCTGATTGTTTCGTGGCTAAAACGGCTTTTGTTAGCTAGCTAACTGTTAGCGGCTAGCTAAAACAGTTAATCTTAGTTAACGTTAGCTAACGATTATTGAGCTATACCCAGCCTAATTAATAATACTTAATTTTACAGCGATGAGGTCTGACGAGTTCGGCTGAGGTTAAAGTTAAAACTTTTGGCAAGTTAGCTAAGAATTTATTTATTTATAAAGATTTTAAGTTCAAGTCAGGTAATGGTTTGTTTGAGTTGACACTAGCCCACAGTTTGTCGTCTTTAACAGTGTAGCTCACTCAGGTAAGCTAACTGGTCGGTTTAGCAGCTAGTGGTTAAAGCTAAAACAATTTTGTTCCAGTTAACTAACAGCTGCTATTAGTAGTTTTAATACGTTTAAGTTTGTGTTAGCTAATGGTTACATTTAGCAGCTAAAGTTTACAATAAATAAAATGAATGGTTTAATAGTTAATAATCTTTATTTTCAAGTTCAAATCTCCATGGTCTAACTTGAATGTTTGTTGGACCTGCCAAAACTGAGCTTGATCATTTGCCATTATAAACAATATAATTCAGGTTAGCTAAAACAATTTTTTATGTTTTCAAACAATTGAAACAGCGCAGTTCAGGTTAGTAAAACGTAGTTTTAAACCAAGCAACAAATAACATTTCACAGGTACAAATTTAGTTAGTCTTATTTCCCAGATACAAACATGTTGAATTTAATTCCTCACATTAGGTGATCTTTCTCCTAAGCCAACATAAAGTGAGTCAATAATAAGTTAAATATAAGGAGAAGAACAAATGCCTAATATTGTTATTAAAGTAATACAGTAGTAGCATTGTCAACATTGGCTAAAATGTTGGAATAAATGTTCTAAAAAAAGCACATAGGTTCAAACTATTCAACCTTTTTTTTTTACAATTGAATATTCATTTTCACAATCAAATATCTCTTTCTTTGAAACTTTGCCAGAAGGTTTTGAATCATTGACAGTCCCTTACAGTACTAGTATATCCAGAAGATGCTTTTACTTTTTGCTAATTTACAACAACTTGCAACAGCAAATGTTTTGTAGGAGATATAAAGCTAACAGATTTGTTTATTTATTAACATAATAAGAAAATGTTGATACTGATTGTATCTGTAGAATGTTGTCAATGTCTTTGTTTTCTGTATAAATATGTGATTTTGAAATACTATATCCACTTGTAGTTTCCTTGGTATTAGGCAGTTCGGGGGTTATGTTTTGGCAGCACTTGGTTAAGGCTCAGGAAATGTGTTCTGGTTTAATACAGAAAAGGTTCAGACACAACTTTTTTATTAACATTTAACTGAAACCATAGTCTTTCCATTTATTCCCTAAATCATGGAGTTGAGGAAAATATCGTGTTTATATCCTGAACATGTCAATAAAATGCCCCGTTTTCAGTCAAGTGGATGCTGTGTACCTGTGAGCGCTGCTTCAGTAATTGGAGAGCAAAACCTCTGTATGACTGATGTAAGAGCGTCTGTTTAAAATTCAGACGACTTGAACTTTGTGCTGCTGCTGTCTTTGTCATCACTCCCTTCAATAGAGGACAACGAATGGTGACCACATACATACAGCCTTAAATTTTCAAACGACAACTACACACCCCGTTCCACCTCCTCTGTATCTCCCCCTTCTCACCTCCTGGCTGGTGTACCTAACTCCCAACAACCTGAACATCCCTCTGTATCTCCGGCTGAATTGCATTCCTCCATTTGGGCTCCACAATGGGATAACTGTATGATGGCGGCTCTGCTCTGGTTCAGGTATCCCCTTCTGATTAGGAACCTGAGCTTCACAGGCCCCCTGCACCTCCCTCCGAGCCCCCCAGCTCAACACAAGCATAAATTGTCTTAGAGGTAGAGGCACATGTTTGTAGATGTGTGACATGATGGGACGCTGCTGTTTGGATGAGTCCTGCTGCTTTCATCTGTCCTGGAAAAATACCACACCTCTATAAACTTCATGGCTTCACTGTTGCTTCTGTTTAGGTATAAAGCCACACATTTTCCTTTAAGAGAACATAATCAGAGGCCCAATAAAATGGTGCCTCATTTAAAGCTGAATCCCGTTTAATCGAAGTAGAACAGCATTTTAATTAATTTACACTTTAAACTGTATTTTCACAGAGAAATTTTAAAGGAAACATGAATGCAAATTACAATTAATGTTCCCTGTGGTTGATACAGTGGATGTCCCTTATCTAAGAAATAAGACTGTATATTGGATGAATGTAAAACTGGATTTGTTGACACTTTGAAGGTACAAGATTTTTACTGGACAGCAAAAATATGCACATTATAACTCAGTAACAAGTTTTTGAAAATATCTAACCTCTGGAACACTGCTGATTTTGCCACACTACACATCACTGGCATAAATATTCCATATCTACTGTAGTAGTATATACAGTACATTTGAATGTAAAATTAAATTAAATGGCATATTTGTATTTAATTGAAATTTATTAGCTTGATTGTGCATCAGATTTGCCCCAAGTTTAGCCTGATGTGTTTTGTATTTTTGGAATTTGACTAGATTATTTAACTTGAATTTAAAATAAGGTCAGTTAGTTAGTTAGTTAGTTAGTTATGACAAATAATGTTTGTTTGTTAAAAAAAAGTATCCAGCTGGGAGGGTTAAAGTGGTTAAATAAAATAGGTGGATGGTCAGTCAGAATAATATAAATGTTACAATGACTTTTTAGACAAAAGCTCCTTGTTTTTATTCTCATATAGTGAACGTTTAACCAAGCACAGTTTATGTATTTGTGCTAATACTTCCATTTTATTCTAATTTAGACTTTACTGCATTTGTGAGAATACTGATGGATTAAAAATTCGAACTAATGTTAACATTAATACTAAAGCATTTACTAATACTTTATAGATGATTTAAAAACATTAATTACAACTACTTCTGAATTATCAGATTGTGTAAAAAAAAAGTTCACATAGTTGTTTATCCCTCTCCAGTTTGACACTTCTTTTTTCCTTTTAGCTACGTTTTAAATTTTTATAAAGTTAGTCAGGGTTGTTTGAAAAGTACAGCAGAGCAACTGGACCAAAGCATTTTTCAAATTATTCACATTTAGATTTTCTACTGAGACACCATGATTAGATGGTATAGACAATCTGTATAACACCATAATGGCCAAACAATGGCATCTGGCTGTATAATGCAAAATATGTAACACAAATAAGTTAAACAGTGTCAGAGCATTTTTTTAACAAGGCGTTATAACTGGCTTATCTGACTGTAAGAACAAAATTAGTTTAAACATAGGTGGTTGAAATGCTTCTTCTTAGTGTACTGGCTTATAACAGATCTATAAGGCATTAGTAAATGATTCTAATGAAGCCATACGTACTCTCTCTAAAGGGTTCCTTATTATTAAGTACTTTCACTACAATGATCTGATTAGTAGTCACAAATTACTTAACAAATTAAGATATTACGTTAAAAAAATATCATTAATGAAACTACCCAACAGTATACTTGTTCTAGCTGTAAAATCAAGTACTGTTTACAAAAGCATCAAAACTATTAAACATATACCAATATAACCCTGGCAGGAGCCATTTCTCTGCAGCAGAAGTATTTCGACATTACCTGCTTCAAGTTCATTTTACTGATAATACTTCTGCACCTTTTAATCAAATAAGAATTTGCGTGCAGGACTTGTGATGCTGAAGTACTTTTACACATGCACAGTGTTAGGCTGAAATGTAAACTGTGCACTTACTGATGGAGCGGGGTGATGTTTTTCAGGCATCGGGCAGCGTCCACTCGTCATGGAGCCTGACAGCACCCGCCACTGGTCTGCTCTCTCCGGGCTTCCGCTGGATCCTTCAGTCTGGAGGTATTTATGCCAAAACATACAAGTTTTCTGTAGGAGGAGGGATGGAGGGCTGAGGATGGAGGTGTGGGGGGGCGTGGGGATGGAAACCCAAAACAAAACATAGCATGATAGTCTTTAAGCAGTTCCATGTGTCCGGAGGAGTGATCGCCCTGTGGTGCTGCAGCCCTCTGCCCTCTCTCTCCCCCTCCCTCCCTCCCTCCCTCCCTCTCTCTCTACCTGCCTCCGTCCCTTTAAAGTGACCATAAAAAAAACGTAGAAGTTGTTTTGGAGTCAGTTCACTTTAGCATGGGCTGCGTGATCTTCTTCATCTGCTCCTGGTGATGATGATAACGATGAACAAGCCCTAATTAAATCCAAGGAGGGGAAAAAAGAAGCGGCCCAGGGCGCTCGGTGATGCGTAAAAAAGGCTCATCATTCTGCTCGGCTGTGTGTGCGGTGTGTTTGAGCCTCTGTGTGTGAGGGGGTGTGTTTCTTTTCTCTGAGCAGATGACTGCTGCTCACCTTGCCACAGGGTCTGCATGAGATTGGTTCTTTGTCAAGGAGTTTTTTTTTTTTTACCCATGATTCCATATGGTATGGAGCGGGCTACATGTTGCCCAACATGCCAGTGCAAATGTTTTCTCAATTAGGTGTCTTATCTCCGGTGAGCGCACTTGCATCAGATGAGGCTTGCTGACAGCGTAATGGCAGGGAAAACCTCGGAAGGCTCCATCAAATGGCAGCTCTGCTACGACATCTCAGCCAGGACCTGGTGGATGGTAAGTTGGCACAACTGCCCCGTTTTCTTTTTTCTTTCTTTTCTCTTTCTTCTCTTTCCTCCCAGAATTTAAAAAAAAGTTAGTTAGTTAGTTAGTTAGTTAGTTATGACAAATAATGTTTGTTTGTTAAAAAAAAGTATCCAGCTGGGAGGGTTAAAGTGGTTAAATAAAATAGGTGGATGGTCAGTCAGAATAATATAAATGTTACAATGACTTTTTAGACAAAAGCTCCTTGTTTTTATTCTCATATAGTGAACGTTTAACCAAGCACAGTTTATGTATTTGTGCTAATACTTCCATTTTATTCTAATTTAGACTTTACTGCATTTGTGAGAATACTGATGGATTAAAAATTCGAACTAATGTTAACATTAATACTAAAGCATTTACTAATACTTTATAGATGATTTAAAAACATTAATTACAACTACTTCTGAATTACCAGATTGTGTAAAAAAAAAGTTCACATAGTTGTTTATCCCTCTCCAGTTTGACACTTCTTTTTTCCTTTTAGCTACGTTTTAAATTTTTATAAAGTTAGTCAGGGTTGTTTGAAAAGTACAGCAGAGCAACTGGACCAAAGCATTTTTCAAATTATTCACATTTAGATTTTCTACTGAGACACCATGATTAGATGGTATAGACAATCTGTATAACACCATAATGGCCAAACAATGGCATCTGGCTGTATAATGCAAAATATGTAACACAAATAAGTTAAACAGTGTCAGAGCATTTTTTTAACAAGGCGTTATAACTGGCTTATCTGACTGTAAGAACAAAATTAGTTTAAACATAGGTGGTTGAAATGCTTCTTCTTAGTGTACTGGCTTATAACAGATCTATAAGGCATTAGTAAATGATTCTAATGAAGCCATACGTACTCTCTCTAAAGGGTTCCTTATTATTAAGTACTTTCACTACAATGATCTGATTAGTAGTCACAAATTACTTAACAAATTAAGATATTACGTTAAAAAAATATCATTAATGAAACTACCCAACAGTATACTTGTTCTAGCTGTAAAATCAAGTACTGTTTACAAAAGCATCAAAACTATTAAACATATACCAATATAACCCTGGCAGGAGCCATTTCTCTGCAGCAGAAGTATTTCGACATTACCTGCTTCAAGTTCATTTTACTGATAATACTTCTGCACCTTTTAATCAAATAAGAATTTGCGTGCAGGACTTGTGATGCTGAAGTACTTTTACACATGCACAGTGTTAGGCTGAAATGTAAACTGTGCACTTACTGATGGAGCGGGGTGATGTTTTTCAGGCATCGGGCAGCGTCCACTCGTCATGGAGCCTGACAGCACCCGCCACTGGTCTGCTCTCTCCGGGCTTCCGCTGGATCCTTCAGTCTGGAGGTATTTATGCCAAAACATACAAGTTTTCTGTAGGAGGAGGGATGGAGGGCTGAGGATGGAGGTGTGGGGGGGCGTGGGGATGGAAACCCAAAACAAAACATAGCATGATAGTCTTTAAGCAGTTCCATGTGTCCGGAGGAGTGATCGCCCTGTGGTGCTGCAGCCCTCTGCCCTCTCTCTCCCCCTCCCTCCCTCCCTCCCTCCCTCTCTCTCTACCTGCCTCCGTCCCTTTAAAGTGACCATAAAAAAAACGTAGAAGTTGTTTTGGAGTCAGTTCACTTTAGCATGGGCTGCGTGATCTTCTTCATCTGCTCCTGGTGATGATGATAACGATGAACAAGCCCTAATTAAATCCAAGGAGGGGAAAAAAGAAGCGGCCCAGGGCGCTCGGTGATGCGTAAAAAAGGCTCATCATTCTGCTCGGCTGTGTGTGCGGTGTGTTTGAGCCTCTGTGTGTGAGGGGGTGTGTTTCTTTTCTCTGAGCAGATGACTGCTGCTCACCTTGCCACAGGGTCTGCATGAGATTGGTTCTTTGTCAAGGAGTTTTTTTTTTTTTACCCATGATTCCATATGGTATGGAGCGGGCTACATGTTGCCCAACATGCCAGTGCAAATGTTTTCTCAATTAGGTGTCTTATCTCCGGTGAGCGCACTTGCATCAGATGAGGCTTGCTGACAGCGTAATGGCAGGGAAAACCCAAAACCTTCAAATGGCAGCTCTGCTACGACATCTCAGCCAGGACCTGGTGGATGGTAAGTTGGCACAACTGCCCCGTTTTCTTTTTTCTTTCTTTTCTCTTTCTTCTCTTTCCTCCCTTTTTCTTCAACCAAAAGAACAACTCCTCCTCCTGCTTCTTCTACTTGTAGTAGAGCTTTCAGAAGCACGGTACCACACAGCAGCTGTGTGCTTTATTTCCAATAAGCTCCTGGACTTGTGAGCCGCTCGGGCTGTTTGTTGTTTTTAATCTGACAGCGACCCATCTCTCCCCTCTCTTGTCTCTTCGGCGTCCCGTTAGCGTACGGGTGCCAGCTCAGGTCTGCAGCTGCGGCCGGGAGATTGTTCGCTCCTTCTGAGGCTCTGCTCATTCTGTCTCTTGTTCCATCCGATAAACTGGAAACTTCTGTGAAAACACACAAAAACTCCTGCTTTGTTTCTGTGTGATTCCTGAGAAATACCAGCACTGAGCATCACACTCGGCTCCTTAGCTCTAACACACCACTGCTGCTACTGAGGCAATTACACCGCACACGGGAACAAACACCCCACCTCCCTCACTCTCACACCATCTCAGCAGCGGTGTCCCGGGACGAGCTGGTGCTCTGGCTGCAGCGCCGGGCCACATTAAGCAGCTTGTTGCGGTCAGCGAGGCCAGCCAACCTTTGACACCCCTGTCACTGCTATGAGTATGGAGGGGGGGGGGCTGAAGTCCGAACAGACCGATGGGGGTTGAGAGGAGTTTGGTGACTCTGCTGAGAGGCAAGGAGGGTTGTTTTTAGTGGCTCACAATAGTCTATTGTGAGTGGCTCGTCCTAATGAGCCAGAGAGATGAAAGAGCTCCGAGCACTGGGAGTTCATTAGAGGACAGCTCATTATTCCTGTCACTGTTACATTTAACACTGTGTCCAGGTGACGGTGTGGCGGGTTTGGGTGGATGGACGCAGAGTTTGGGTATTGCAGGTTCCTCTTCCTCCAGCTTGACTAAAAAGAGTTGTGTTGCCAAAGAGACAAAGGCGGCTTTATCCTCTGTGTAACAGGACCGTGAACTCTGCGAATTCCTCTCTTCTCCCAGACCTGTACCCACCCCCCACCCCCCAAATGTGCGCACACACACACACACACACACACACACACACACTTTCAGCATCTAGCAGCAGGACGATGGCAGGCAGCCTGTGGATGCCTTACTCTGCCGGCCACTGTGGCGTCTGTTCAGGGTCCGAGGAGTGTGTATGTGTGGGTAGAGAGGGTTTGTTCTTGAGTGTGCATATGTTTATCAGCTGGGGGGGCGGCTCGAATGATCTATCAGTTTGTTTGATCTGTACTCTTTAAATTGACTTTTACTGAGTAAAATCTCTGATGGTCAGCAGTTATTTGCTCTCTGATTGTAGCTGCAGTTTGATGCTGCTGCTGGGTTAAAATTTCACACTATCATTATGTATATATTCATAATTTGAGGTGTCACATTGTCTGTTTTCTTGCTGATTAGTTGGTGTGTGGACTTGCTGCTGTGTCTCCATGACTAAATATAACTCATATAGGACGTAAATCTAATGAAGCTGCTGCAGTGCCGATTTTCTCTCCGGAGAATTTAAAAAAAATTGCATTGAAAAAGTTCCTTTTTTAAAATTACTTTTGGCGGGAAAGTTTACATTTGAATTTTACATGAGTTGCACAAATTAATAAATATACACTGTTTTCTTTTAGGTAAGGTTAAGGTATTAATTGTACTGATGATGGTAATTTTACAATAATGAAATAAATATATCCCGTTGTTTCTGGTTGTCAGTTAACTAATCTAATCTGACTGTGTTTTTACTGTTTGGGTTAATTGTACCAAATATTTAAACTTTTTTAAACCTTCAGAAAATTATGGACTCTTTAAAAATGAAATACAAATAAAATGTATTTTTCACCAAAGATGACAGATTTAAAGAAATATTACTCAGTAATATCCATATCTTTTGGATGTTGAAAAATCTTTAAATCTTTTCAGATAATTTAGAGTATTACATTTTTTTTTTTTTGCTGCGTCTGTTTTTATGAATAAACAAAATTAAAATTTCTCTCATTTGAAACAGTAATATATTGACACACTTAAATTTTTCCGTGATTAGTTGTGTATGCTGTAATGACCGGCCACTGGTGCTCCTCTCCTAAACGATCACAGCGGGCTAATTAGTCAGACTTAAATCCGTCCCTGCCTCACTATCAGAAAAGGTTAAACTGGCCGAAAGCACAAAGAGGATTATCAGCTTAAAGTTAAAATGCTTACAAATTTCAAAAGCAGCTGTGATTATGCCAAGTGATTTCAGTCGGGTTGTATCAGGGAAACAATTCGGTTTTTAATTTAGCGTTTTAATAGATTTTAGGTTTTTAATCTTGTGTATATTGTTGTTGTCCTTTCATGGATTTGATATTAATGTTCCCAAATGAAAGCGATTTTTGTCAAAGAAAGGTTTTAAATCTAGGCAAATTTATATTTAAAGCTATGAAAAATAATGTAATATTTTGTGTTTTTAGATAAAAATATGAAAAACATATTCCATAATGTGTCTGGCATTTGAATTTTCACATTATTATTTTTTTTTATTATCATAACCTAATTTCTTTGTGGTGTTATCTTAAATTTTGAAGAGCTGAAAAGGGGACCCCTACACAAACTTCATCCATGTTTGATTCGTAATAGATAAATTTCATCTCAAATTCCAGATGTTCTGTTTCTGCCTCCTGTTTAAACTTTTCTTCAGCCTGGTTTTGTTTTCAGCATTTCATTATCGGTCTCTTGTTTAAATCTCAATGTTTACATTTCATCTTTAGATATTTTCCCTCCTCTCTGCATCACTGCACGTCCAGTACAGCTGTATCAAAATTGAACACATTATAATCACAGTTGAATTGTTGCC